GCGGGAACGTTCTGAGCAGCGGCCTGCCCCTCTCCCCTTTCTAACACAACACATATAACGTTCATTTTAATATTTGCTAAAAGCCAATCATATAATACATGCATTTTTCACAGTGTGTATTTGTGATTGTGATATGTGTGGAGACCAACAATGGGACAGTTGCCAATTCTAATAATAACTGAGGAAAGTAAAGCATGGAAGAAGGCCTTTGAACCTATCTTTTATTTGGAATTAACCCTGGTTGATTTAGGAGCATTGGAATTAAAGCGTTAAGGATGTTGCTCTTTGCTTGTAGTTAATCCTTAAAGAGTTCTGCAATAATAACCTTTTGAAGTATAATTTTAGAATATTGCTTGCATCCTTGAAACTATAGCTTTGGAATTATAGAAAGGAAATACGCTTGTCTCATGCCTTAATAAAGCAGAGAAAAACAGCTTGAGAAAGGAAGATGAACATCAACATCAACTTGTCCAAGGGAAGCTGGACATCACTGTTATGAGATTTAGAGTCTCTGCAATTAAAAGGTGGACACACATCTGGGGAGCTGGACCCCACTAGATGGGATTCGTCTTTCTTCTTTTGGAAACTGGACCGTCACCATCTGGGGATACTCCTTTGAGATACATCCTGAGAAAAACTAAATCAAAATAGTGTATAGAATAGTGACGTAAAAATTGGGAATAGAAATTCTGAGAAAGCTGATGAGTACCCCTATAAATACCTGTAACCCTCAACTACCGGTGTGCAGTTGGAGGGAAAACTTCCCCCACTGTACCCAGTGCTGTATTGCTCATACTTCACCATATTAATTAATAAATTGATTGCTGCTTGAATATTGGCCTAGCCAAGCTTCTTATTCATAACAGTTGTAAGGGGCATCTGAAAAGTTATCTCTGAAATCTTTCATCTGTGGCTTGAGCTGTTTTTAAAATGAAGTATTGATTAATCCGAAAGGCACAACTTTGCCAGGCATAGTCCTGGTGAAGGCTGTGAGAAGTTCAGAGAAAAGAATGATAAACAATTCCCATCTTCACTTGCTGCCGTGTGGTTGTGAACATCTGGAATGTGTTATGGAGATTTCTCTTGTGTGACTGGGCATTTTTACACAAACTCGTGATTGAAAAAGAAGAACTCTAGAAAACCCCCAAGGAGATATGTAAACGCTAATATTTTTATCTTAGTTTTATTTTATCCTGTGAAACATTAACTGCCTCAAATATGTTTCAGCAACCACCTTCTAGATGGCAGGAGTTTGTCACTTCTCTCGTGAACAGAAAAATATCTTATTTTCTGAACCAACAGAGTGGCCTAAGGCTGTAATTTTAAAAAAAAATGGATGAGAATAGCCAATTTAGAGCTTACAGAACTTCCATTAGCAGTACTGGAGCAGTCTCTGGTGAGTTGTTGCAGACTTGTTTCAAGAAAAATGCAGAAAGTAATGAGAGTCAGCCTCATTTTTAGAGGTTTTCAGTGAGAAGCAGTGGAAGGACAGTGAGTGTGGCTCTGAATGGTTATCATTCCATATTTCCTGTCAGAGCATCAGAATTGTCACGTCTTCACTTAATGCCTGCTGTCTGGCTGGCCAAGATAACAGATGAGGGCCACCCCACACTGCCTGGAAAAGGTATTTGTCTAGTCAAGAGCTTTCAAAACAGCACATTGTTGACTGTCTTAACCCTCAGCTGAGCTACCTGCAGAGGTCACTCGAGAGAAAAGTGAAAGTCACTTTTGTGAGCTAAATGATGCAGACAGCAGAGCTGCTGGTCTCATGCTGAAGGCATAGCCCTGCAGCAGCATGCACTGGTTCCCTCTTCTGTTCCACTCATGCATCTCATAAAGTTAGTTTTACCTATACAAAGGGCCAGAGGATGCTAATGAAGCAGAATCTCTCAAAAATAAACGGATCTCCTGGATACAGAACTTTGAGCAGTATCTTTCCACCTCGCTCTCTTTTTTGTTCACCTTTCAGAGTCATGCGGCAAGTCAGAGGAGTGACACTCCGGATTACATGGTGATTGCTGGTCAGGTACATATTTTCAAGGCAGTAAATTCACATTTCAGATGGGAATAATTCAGCAAAGAGGTGTCTGAGGGAAGTGGGCTTGCTTTTTCTAGGGTCGGAGCTGAGTAGTGCCATAGCAGCGCCGCATACCAGCTCACGTGGACACTAAACATCTTCAGGGCTGTTCTGCTCACTTCTTCCTCTGCTCATCTCTTAAAAATTCTTCCTTTACTGTGAGAGCATGTTTCAGGAATAGACATTTACTTATTCCTTACATTACTCATGTAATAATAAAGGATTCGTGCCTTCTCACTTTTACTGCTGAAAATTATGGAGATCAGAAAGGAAAATCAGGAAATGAGATGTGTGCACAGCCTCTATCAGAATGGCAATATTCTGGGGCAGATAAGACCTTCATATGCAGTGACATCAGACTATGCTGGATGAAAATGAAATATTTTTACTGCCTCTTGCTGTGATATCTCAGTCCTTTTAAAGATACAAGAAAGCATAGTATCTCTCAACTTGAAATACGTACTAAGTTGTTGTCATTTACTTCTAATTTAATGAACTGAAATTTCTTTTTTCTCTTAGTAATATGTTCTGATCTATTTAAGCCCCTATTGCCTACCTGCCTATTACCATAATTGTCTTCATTATTGCAATGTCTACTTGCAACATTCAATATGTTTGCCTCCCTGGGGATTGCATTGTAAAATAGGTGCAGCATACACCTTTCCAAGTGACCTTTGAAAATGCGTACATCAAATTTAATTTGTTTTTAAATCCTGACCTTGCAGCAACAGACCTTAAAAGTCATGTCAATATTTGTTTGATGTAAGATTATTTTGTCTGACGACATTTATACTTGCTGATTTAACTACATAAAGAAATGGGAAACAAAGAAAATAACTTGAGGCAAAAATCTTTAGTGACGTCTACTGAATTGGCATGTTCAGATATAATATTTTAAAATAAGCATCCTAGAATTAGATGTAGAGATCTTTTGTGTGTATGTTTTCTTTTCCCCCTGCTATTATACCTGCTGCTTGCAGTCATTAATCTTAGCCCTGGAAAGTCATGCCCCAAGAAATTTCTAGATGGTTATTTTGTCTGGTCAATGTTTGTATCAAGAGGGAAAAGAAGAAAGATATGAGATAAAGCAAAAAGAGAAATTTTGCTGTTAAGTGATTAGAGTCTTGATTCAGGGAGCTCACTCTGTTGTCAACTTCTTTATTAAAATCTATTAATCTTTCCTATGATATTCAAGTTGTATTTTTTCACATTTCTTCCATGACTTCAACAAAATACTGAACAGCATTTTTATCATGGTATCTTACTGGGGCTTTTTATTTTGGTTTTTGAGATGAAAGATATGCAGTAAAGCTAATACTGCAATTTATGTGCACAATTAATGTGCCATCATATGTTAATTACCATATATTAATTAAGATT